CGACAACATTACATTAAAAAATTAATTATTGGAGTCCAGCTATGTTCAAATTCGATCAATTGATTTTTCTTACAGGCAGACATGGAAACATCCTCCCCATGGAAACATAATCCCAGAGTAGATTTTTGTTAAATCAGTTTGTTGACGGCAGATCTATCCGTCCATCTGGACAGAATCATAAGAAAGTCCGGAATCTACTCCAGGCAGCAAAGGGCACAAGGCAGGGATACACCGTGGATCAGATGCCGGTCTAGAGCTTGCTGAAGGACACTGGAGTACCCAAAGGAGACCTGCCTGTCCCAGAGGAAACACTCAGGCACCACACTGGAGACGGGATTCCAGTGGGAGATGGAAGGAAACAGAGTGACCCATGGAGTCACAGTGACACCCAAGTATAATCAGCTTTATTTTTATCAGGTGTAAAACTCTATCAATTATATATTCTGAATTGCATTTGAAACACTGAAACAAAGCCCAGCTGTTATATTCTGGAACATGTATGCGTTATATATTTGCAGTCACATTCAACAGTGTTTAAGGAAGACACATTATTGAATTCCACGGAGCACTTCATTGTGCTCTTTATATTCAGCCGAAGTCAGGTTGCTCCATGGGAGATGGTATGAAATATGTGTTTACACAGTAAATGAATCTGAAACATGCATACTTTTGCGACTGCATCTCTGAGCACTGTAAAAGGGAGGAAAGTTAGGATGATTCCAGAGGCTCGAAAAAATCTGGAACATACCTGGATTTGTCTGGTCCGGGGGCCCGATAAAACATGCTTTCATGGGGCCCACAATCTCTAGCGGGGCCCCTGTCCTTCAGAGTCGAAATGTTTGATGAACAGTCACTGAAACATGGTCACAGAAGTGATAAACAGGCCTTAAATGAACTCTTCACTATGGCGGGATAAGTACTTGAAAGTAGAATTATGTTAAAGACTACTTTTTAAATGACAATAGACACAGTAGCTATTACAGCAAAATTTATTATATACAATCTTCAGTCTCCTTTGCTGTTCTGTTCATATTCATTAGAGAGATTAAATTAACTTGGAGACTGTGGCGTATTTTGGAAGCCTGAATCATATCAACGCCGACAGAGAGCAAATTGCTCCCAGCAGAGTGGTCAGCTGCTGCTATTTCCCCGCGATGTGGATGTTTTTTTCCCCCTGCAAAGATGCCTTGTTTCAGCGGCACAGAACACATGCAGAATAACATCCACAGATGCTGCAAATGACTTAATTACTCTCACCGTTTGCTTTTCTGGGCACGCTTCTCTTTTTTCTTTTCCTTTTTCCCCCTGTCGACTTTCACGCTGAAAAGTATTCTATCCCACTTCATTGCATCTCCTGCAGACCTCAGGGTAAAAGAGCCCATGTGATCCAGGTAAACCAAATGTACATTATTGCGCAAAAGTCGTAGGCAGTCAAAGATAATGTTTAAAGCTATTTATCTGGGTAATTATTGTGTTTTTACCCTGAAAAACACTATTTAACTTCAGACAGTTAATTATTTGACAATTAACAATAGAGCATTAAAAATGAAGAATAACCCAATAAAAAGCAACAAGAATTTATCTTGTTCTCCAAAAAGTTAAGGACATCTTGTTGGTTAGCTAGAAGAACACCTCTTCAGTTCTCAAAATCTACTTTATTTTTGAAATGATATGAAAATTACTTTGAGATAACTCGTTAGTAAAATATTATTGTCGTTCAAAAACCCCCTTTTCTTCTTTGGAAAAAATCTCTATTGTAAAATGAATTGTCTTTCTTTAGCCACCAGCTGCCAGTGATGGCAGGACATGCAGATTGACTCATTGATACCCGGCCTGGTCATGCTTTGAGGCATTTTGTTTGCCAGTATGAGTCTAAGTTACCACATCCATAATACTGCCATTGCCCCCAATCTTTCTGTGTGCTGCAATGCACACATGTGTCCTGGTACTGCCACACGCTCCCCTAATGTCACATACATACACACTTAAATATCAATCATCCTATTGTTTTCGCTCAGAAGTCACAAGCAGCTTTATGTTTGGCTGGAACGTGGCTGATTTTTCCCCAGTGAGTGTTGCATTTGCCTAACAAAGAAACCAGCCGCTGCATGGTTCACTTGTACCACAAAATAAAGGTCACCCCCCCCCTCCCCGCAGCCCTGTACAGTACGCGCACCTGCAAGAGAATGCAGGCAAACCAAATCTTGTATAAACAGGCGTTTGCGTTTGTCCCAGTTTTATTGTTGTTGTGGCTTTTTTTCTTGCAACAACTAATTTCCCTATTTGCCAGTGGCTCTGAAGGAAAAAAGGAGAAGGGAAATAGCAATAATAATTCATTATAATCATTCTTCAGAGGAGCTTCAAATGTTAGCGGCGACTGAATTGTTATTCCTTATGGAAGCTCCATAAATTAGCTCATTTGAATGTTACACAATGCCTTATAGCTTTATTGATCACGTCTTTAAAGTACATTAATTGAAGATGGATGGGTCTTTATCTTGATGCATTTCCGTGATTGCCGGTTTTTGAGTGCTGGTCATGCCCCAACTTACGGCCATTATAAGTAATAAATTGTAAAGCTGATATTGTTTGAGCACTTTTATCTGCGGCTTCTAGGTATACATTACCTTGAGGGGACCAAATGTCCCCACATTGTGATGAAAAACAGTTTTTTTTTTCGTCCCCACAAGGGAAAATTCAATTATTATAAAAATCCGTAACTGCAATCAAACAACTAGAAATGCCTTGTATTTTGTGTGGTTACTAATGGTTAAGGTTAGGGCTGGGTAGGGGTTAAGGTTGTCATTGTTTGGATTAGGGTTATGCCCACAGATATGAATGGACGTCCCCACAAAGATATGAGTACAGGTGTGTGTGTTTACTATTGTAGTACTGCATTATTAATATAATACTGTATTATCTTTTTACCTCACCATTTGTCATTTTATTTTTTGGTATAATCATAATGGATCATGTCATTTGTAACCATGCATATTTATTTGTAAACAGATGCATCGGGTTTTATTCATTATTTCTGGTGAAACCCATTTCTATTACACTACATTACATGAGCCCAAAGAAACAAATTAGACGGTAAAAGCCGGTGTGAATGTTATTACATCATTCAGAGGGTGTATAATCAGTCAGTATGTGCTCAGTTTTGATTAATATTTTGTCACAGAATGTACTCTTGCATTATTTCTGTCATTAAAATGTGGTTGTGTACAGATTTTTGTAATTTAATCACAGAAACATAAAATCTCTGCATTTTTATGAGTTTAAGAATACGATTATGTGTATTCAGGGAATAACAGTTTTTATGATGTTACAACAGGTAACAGCAGGTACTTTTGGTAAATTGTGAATGCACATAGGTACACTTAAATATTGAAATCTGGAATAATAGCTAGTAAAGGTTTGAAGGGAATTGGTAAGCTGAAGTGTCAAACCTATAAATAATTAACTGCTGGTGAAGGTGAATCATGCGTGAATGATAAGTCATTTAATTCTAATGACAAAAAATGTCAGTTTATATACTTTACCTGTAATCTGGGGGAATTATTGGACTGTACTGTATTGATGCCAATTCGTCCTTAATAATAATTTGGGTTTGTTTATATCTGCAGTAGAACTTGAAAAAATCCTTTTTGTTCTACAAACTACAAGATTGAATTTCATCTTAAATTTAAATCCCACCATGACTTCTCTGGTGTGGACTGCTCTTATGATAATATTCCATTCCTTACTGATGTTCTTATTTTCCCATAATCCTGTGCCACTGTGATGTACTGACTTAATGACATTTAAGGGCAGACTGGCTTCGCTGATATTTCTCTATAACCAGTTTTCTTCATTAATGTCCATAAAGAGGGTGATCAAGAGCCTCATTAATTGGTAAGATTAGAATTTATTACAGAAATTAAAGAATTAAAGGGTATTTTATACCCATCGATTTTTTTGAAACCACTTATCTAAGACAGGGTTGTGAGGAGCCTGGAGCCGGTTCTAAGATGTACGTGGCATCAATTGGGGAGCAGCGTGGCAGGGGTGGCTCTACGTGCTGCCCGGGGGGGAGGGGCACGATCAGCCCAGGTAAATACACGGGCACCCTTGCTGCCATCTCGCATCAAAATAATAAAAACCAAATATTTTTTTTTTTTACATTTTCTAAGTAGGACCACAGAAGGGACAGGGTGCAGCGCAGCCACACGAGAATAGAACTGGCCCCTGATGCCCATCCTGATGCCCATCCTGATGCCCATCCCAAACGAAACTTTCTGCTGGCACCTCTGCAGCATGGATAAGAAGCCAGTCTATCACAGAGGAAACTCTATGGGCAATTTAGAGTCGCCAGTCCACATGTTTTTGACATAAGAAACAAATGTAGCAAATGTAACAAATTGATCTTCAGTCAATACAAGCTTGCTGCCGTCTTATCTAGACACATTCAGGTTCAGTATAGAAATGATGTTGCATCTGAAAGCCCCAAATCAACATTAAAATGGGTAATGTTTTACTTTACCTGCACCTTCATAATACCTTTATAAATCATTCATAGAACATTCAGTGCACCTTCATAATGCATTCAAAACCTTCATAAGCAGCACATAAGTACACCTTAAAATCCTGACATACTTTGACAGCTTTAATACGCTCATGATGCTGAGATCTAGCTTGTTTCTTATTATCCAACGTAATCATGCTGCTATTCTAACATAATTGAAGAGCAAAATTTACAAAACTCATTCAGTCCACGGGATACAAAGTTCTTCATTGGATTACATGTGGATTGAGTGAGTTTTACTTCCCGATGCTGCAACATGTGACGATGAAGCCTGACTTTAGGTCTTTGGCAGTTCAACCAAAAATTCAAGGGGGTGGTTTTTTAAATTATTAAAGATGAGCAAAATACAATGTGTTGCTTCTAAGTTTGATCAGAGCGATGCATCATTTTTATAAAACGTTTGTAAAGCAGCTGATCTCTCTCATTTTCCAGCTTCTGCAGGATCCCACCTTCCCAGCACTAGGAGCTCGATGCCTGGGTAGATGGAACATGGGACCAGAAGAAGACATAACTAGCATTTTCTTCCACGGGTCTTGGGGTTGATGCCAGGACATGAGTCCAGTTTACTAGCGGAAGCAAGAAGAAACAAAATTATAGCTACCAGACAGGTGAGCTGAGTTACATTCCTCCTGGATCACCACCATGATGTTCCTGCAAAACAAAATAAAGCATGTTTAATAATCCGATAGTTTAGTATTTCACAGTTTATAGAAGAATGAATATTGCAAAAACAAATACATTTAAAATGTGTTTATTAATACTCCTTACAGTTGTTTTAGTTTTCTTTCACCAAAATGTAATAAAAATGGTGACTTCAATTAAAAATTAATTTATAATTAACTAATGGTCTTGACATTTGCATTTGCTCATTAGATGCTATCCAAAGTGACTTAAAGCCTGGCATGTACAAATTGAAATTAATGGATAAAATACAGCAGAGAATTAGAATTGAGGATTTTTATTGTGTGAGCGTTGTTACACTAACAACTAAACTGAGTAGCAGCTTCAATGCTTACACAAACCATACATAAAACAGAAAAGTACAGAAACACAAATGCAGTAGTTGCACTGTTATAGGAGCACAAATGCAGTAGTCGTACTGCTATAGGAGCACATGCAGTAGTCGTACTGCTATAGGAGCACATGCAGTAGTCACAATAGCTACAATCAAGGAAAGCAGGAGTCAGGACATTGTACTGGATGCTAGGTATAGCAGGATTGCACCGAACACGAGTGCAGCATTACAAATGAGATAAGTGCAAGAGTAAAAACAACAAAGTATTGGACAAAATTACTAGTGCTAAACTATACAATACTGACTGAGGATAAAATACTGCATCGAATAAAGTACAGCACACCACAAAATGCCGTACAATTCAAAGTTCATGACACAAAGTAATGGACATTTTGAACTTGGTGCCAGACAGTAGCCACTGAGTATATTGGGAGGTTGTAATCATGACAAAATGTGAATGAATCTTAAGTAAACAGATCCACAGTCCAGTGCACTCACGGAAAAACAGCAAGCATTTGCATGACAGCATTTTAAATCATTTAAATTATTTAAGCTAAATGATATATAGCACCAGGAAATAGTCTCTTTGTAGATCTCTGAACTACATCTAGCTGCCGCCTAATGAACAGAACGGATGGAAATGTCTTTATTGTTAAATTAAGGCTGTCTGGATTTTTTTCTCTGATTAATTACAGTCATGACACTGTAATAGCTTTTTCAATTTTAATTTAATTCTCCATCATAGCCTCACATTATTATATTTAATATGACCCAAAAGACTGACTTGCAGCAGCGTTGCCATCTGCAGGTTCACCCTGTCATGCAGGATGTAAATCAGGCAAGTGAAACAGGAGACTGCTTAATATTTTCAAACTCTTTTACTGACTGTAACAAAATATTTTGAATGTTTTCATACTACAATTAGTTGTAGAATTCAGGAGAGGAGCACAGACAGAGATCGTCCCCCCTACCCAGCATGCCTGTTGCTAACAGAAATGTCTGCGCTCTCATTATGTGAGAAGACAGTCACTGTTCTGCATATTTAATAGTGTGTACAACATTCCTTAGAACTGTTACCATGCTTTCAACAGCAAAGGATTTTCTAAGGGAAAAGAATCTTTGGAGGCTCTGTTCGTCTTTTAATGAGTGTTTGTTTCAAATATCAAACTTGAGGACATTGACCTGCTCTTTTTGGTCAAGCACAGTCAAGATTAATTTTTGGTTAATTACTTTGTATGACATTTTCCTTCTGTCGTGTTGTTGTGCTCTCCAAATATGAGATGTTAAACAATGGTTATGTTTAAAACATTACAGGATGTGGAAATGTGCAGTATGCATTGTTCGTATTGCAGAGTTGTCAACTTTGGTCAGCTGGCTGGCATGAGATTTTCAATTTGCGACTAGTCTGCACACTCATTTACATGTATGTAACAGTTTTATTACCTGGAAAATAGTCTATAGGGTTTATAAACTACTCCAATGCATTTGATGTAGCTAATTTTAGGTTTGTAATGGAATGATATAGATTTGCTGTAAGATTTGTTGCATTAGAGTCTGAAAGTCTGAGTATTACGGCAGATGTGAGTTGGCAACCCTATATTTGTTTACTGGGAGTGTGTATTCTTCAGTATGATTCCACTTACCATGTTTTCAGTTTGCTGTTACACTCGTAATCCACAGTTTGGTCTAATCCTTGCTCTGGCAAAAGCCAAAATACGCCCATGGCCTTGCTGTCTGAGCAGGATGAGCCCCCCAGGTGGTCAGGGCCGAGCCGGCGTGAAACATGACAGAAGGTCAGACGCTTCTGTTCTGGTTAGAGGCAGATAGGCCTGTTGGTGGGGGATCCTTAGCACGTGGGGTGGTGTCCTGGGGGAATCCGGCCTGGACGTGATGCTCGCTCAGACAAAGCTTGCTAACACCCCGTCAGCTAACTCATAACCATACATCTCTCTGTGGTCGTTTTCGCCTGTAGGTATCTAAGTGATGGTGATTGTTTTGAATGAATCAGGCTTCGTATCCAAAAATGGATTAAGTAGAGCCTCATATTCCTGTGTGATATGCGGGTGTCCTGAAGTTGCTCACAGTTTGCGTGTATGACTGCGTGCCAAGTGACCCCACATTCACTAAAACTCCACTTCATTAAGCAAATATGCGCATACAAACATTTCCAGTGCTGACTGAACAGCGTTACAGGGCGTACTGCTTATTGGATATTTCACCTGTATTACATTTATACGATTACATTTAGCAGATGCTGTTTTTGTCCAAAGGAACATACAAGTGAGGTTCAGAGACCAGGGTCAGACAGGGTCCCTGGAGCATTTGGGGTTAAGAGCCTTGCTCATGGGCCCAGTGGTGACATCATCCTACCAGACACAGGATTTAAACCGCTGACCTTCCCATCATGGGCAAACCCTAACCCACAGGTCCACTCGCCGCCCTAATAATTATGTTTTCTGTGTTTCCTGCACATGTACATGACATGGAGTGTTTGGAGCTGCTGAGGATGTACACATTATGGAATGCAAGTCTGTCAGGGTGCATATAGGGTGACCTCCTAATGCACGTCGGGGGGGAGGGACACTACGGGCTACTTCAGGATTTACAAACTACTTTAAACCTGAAAGGCTCCTGTGCTTGGCTAATTCGTTCAGTTCTTCTTGTGCTTTTACTGGTTTGTTTCCTTGATTGAAAGACTCATCCAGCTGTTTCACATTAACATAAGTGACACATGCATGATTATAGGAGACTGACCAATCAGCACACAGCAAGAACTCAGCGCTAAAGTGAAATGCAGGTCTTTATAATTGAAATGGTAGTTTACAAACCCTGTCCCAGCTCATAAGGACCCCTGCGACGTCGATTAGGTGGTCACCATAGATGTATATTGTGTTGCCACATGAGCTTTGGGTAGTGATTTAGGTTTCATGTGCAAGTGAATAATCAGTCTGCCTGACCAGTGGCTCTGTTTGATCTTCTCACTCAGTATTACTGCACTGAGCTGTTGACCTGACAGTGATTGCTCTGTTTAGGGTCATCCCGTTACGGTTACCCCAGATAAAAGAGCTGACCAGCACGTATTTGTACAGAGTGCCAGGAGGTAATTGCGTCTTCCTCTTCCAGGGCGAGTCACCTCTAAGCGAGCTGTTAAGCCAGGCTTTGAGGAATCCATTTACACGGTCTCCGTGGCTACAGAGCAGCTGGCGAAATGCTCGCCAATATACAGTGTACTGCCTGTTTTTGTCCTATTACTTACTCTTTCATTCATGCGCGTATTCGTTCAACGATAGCCTGCATGCATGCTTATATTCTGTTAATGTGGCACCAAAATTTGTATTTGGTTGACATATTGCTGGTGTTTGTTTTTTTTATGCAACATCTGCAGTGTTTTAAACGTTCTTGATGTTGCATGATGTTGAATTGTGAGACTAAGGGTACCAGGGCGAGGAATCTATCTTACATTTCAGAGTTAAAATTCATTTAAAAATTAATAAATGTAAATACTTAGGTATTATTAATGAGGTACGGTGGATTTTTATGCTTTATTAAATGGATGACTTGAACACTATTGGTGCTTAATCAAAGAGGCCCCTGACTTTGTGTGTTGTCTGTTTTTCGGGAAATCGTTATGTTTTGATTTGCTGTGATGTGAGGCGGAAGAAATGGCCAGAGGAGAGTATCCGTTTCTTTGTTTTACGTATTGAAGAAATGAACAAGAATAGCTACAAAAATGATCGGTTCCCCTCCCTTTGTCTCCATTTGGTGTTTCATGTGTCACTTAACCTTCCTTTTGCTGTAACATTTTAATAGTTTTAATGACCTGTTGTTCCAAGCAGCCGTGGGTGGAGTCACCTGCTTAGATTACCTTGGAATTAGCACTTCATTTTTCCATTATTGATCACAGTCTCTTAATTATAATAACAGCTAGAATAAATTTGCTCATTAGCATGCACACACACACACACACACACACACATTAGTGAATAAAACATTTAAAATACACAGTCTTTTAATTACATCCTGGCAGCTTTTCAGGTCAAATCTGAGTGTCAGAGAAGAGAGGAAAATGAATAAAAGAAAAATTCCATAAAACACAGGCAAAGCTGGATTTCATGGCAGTGGATATCATTAAATGAATGATTTGGTAACACTGTGGAATGGGGGTGTGCACTAGTTTGTAGAGGGAGGTGGGTAGACAATGAAGGAGTGACGCGTTACTTAATATGCGCGCTAGCGTTGTGTGATGTGAGCTAACATTTACCAATAAAAACATCCTCAGAAAACTGTTTACACAATGAATTATTGAGTCAAAAAGCAGAAAACCACTCAGAGTACAGCGTATTCTGCTGAAATACCGTATGTCCTTCTGGAAATACCTTGGCCTTCAAGTTAAATTCAGAAGGTTGCTAATTGTGGATAAATGCAGGCAAAGATCTGATATTGAAGCTGCTGGTTACTCTCTTAGCTGTTTAATATATTTATTGTGTATATCTCTAAAATATAAGACAGGAACAAATAAATAAACAAGCCCGTTTTTCCCAAATCCTGCATGCATTTTAACCCACTAGTTTTCTTGAAAATCCTATTTTTCCC